TATTTATAGCAAAATTTAATGACAATTTTTAGAATAGACTCCTAAATTACTCTAGTTGCTGCAAATATGATTTCTCGCTGCGTTAACCATGCATTTAAACTCAAAATGATCAAAAGCAGCATGTAAGCAAATGAATCCATAAAATTATCCGATTATTAAGCTAGTTAAAATATCCTAAAACATAGTAAGCATGTATTGAATGATATCTTTTGACTTCATGCTATTTACAGAATTTTTAATGCAGCATTCAAATATTTTTTACATTATATAAATGGTTAGTTTAGCTTCATATTTTTCTAATATATTTAAAAAGCTCAATTTAATTTTAAAATAAACATTAAGCTTTGTGTAAAATGTGCAACATTCCAACGCATTTAAAATCCGAATAAAACCTCGGAAGTTTTACTAAAAATTTCTATGAGATTTAAACAAAGAGTGAAATAATTTAATTTCGCAATAATTTGAAATCTACCATCAAAATTTTAAACAGTTTTCAAATGTGTATTAGATTTAAGATATTTGTATTAGTTTGATTTTAATTACATTTGCTGACAAGATGCTGCATCTAATTTCTCAAATCAGTTTCAAGATTTTTTATAAACTGCATTTTAAATAGAATGTTTTAGCAAAAGTACAAGGCTTGGTTATCACGGTATATTTTGAAGTCTGTTTCACTTTTATTTAATATTCTGTTCACTGACATTTAAAACCAAGAATCATCCCATTGGTCCCAGTAATATCGATATTTTCTCTACGGGGGGGGGGGGGNGGGGGGGGGGGGGGGGGTAAGGATGATTAGCTAGCAGTTTTCACCAAGAAAATGTTAAAGCTCGATAAAAATAATTTATTTTTTTAATTTATGCAAAATAAGTTTTTCAATTGTAAGCTTCATTGCACAAATATTGAGGGAAAAAATTTAATCTTATAACTGTGTTTCATAATCCATAAAAGGTGAACGGTTTAAAGCCCTCTCTGCCCCCACCCGGTTCCGTGGTCCCTGCCTGGAATACATTTACCCAAATTTTAATTTGTTCAGAGAATTCAACGGTAGGAAGTATATTTGAGAGTAATGCACGTCAAACTATACATATGCTCAAAGCTTAACGGATAAGTTGTAACTTTTAAAGGCAAATGACTACATTCAAGAAAAAAGAAGAAAGCATTCCTTTAACTTCAGAGTTTACACTAAATGTTAATAGATGGCAGCACTAACGTTTCATTTGCACTTCTCTTAAATTTTGTTTAATTTGTATATTCTATGGTTAACAAAGATGGTATTTTGGGTTCAAATTCAAATTTGAAATTTATGGGCTTCATAGGTTCTTACTGTAAATGAGAGTTAAAATTTCGTCAAATTTAAGAGTTTATATATAATTAACATTTAAGTGGCGAATAATTCCAAGGACAAACTCGTACTTTCTTAATAGAGATCTTTCATTTTCATTTGGCAGAAGCTTTACAAACTGGGTTCATCCTGACAATCTAAGGAATTGAAAATTAAATTTTAAAATCATTTACAGCGTGCCTTCTGGACAACTGTTAAGATAATCCCAAATAGCACTATGATCAGATTCTTTAATGCACGTTTAGAAACCCGCATTTGGTTAATATTTAAAAACGCCGTGACTTGAATTATAATAGCTTTAAGTCTTGAAAACGAAATCAAGCTGAAATTTTTTTTATTTTAAAATTGCTTTCCGTTTGTAAGCCTTGAAATTTGAAACGTTTTTATTGTGTTTTGGAATTTTACGGAGAAAGCTTTGCACAATCGTAACGCAAGCCATAAAGAACATGGATTGTTAAATTTAAATGGGAAAATTTTTCGGAATTTCAGAAACAGAAAAATATACTTCTTAAATTACTAAGAAATGGCAGCACTATAAAATTTTATTCGTTGAATTACTGAAGAGACAAGTTAGTATACAAACGCCCGACATAATAGAAGTCTAATTTAAAAATTACCTTAAGTTTTCTTCATCTCTGAAAATATTGATCAATCAGTTGTATTGAAAAGTTTTGTTTTATGGTAATTTGTTCCGATCTATGTCTTAAAGTATTCATAAAATTAATCTTCGGAAGATACTTGAAAGTTAATAATTTCGTAGTTAGAGTGAAGCATTTTGAATTGAGCTCAAAACAAGACGTTTGACATAATTCGAAATGTTTTAAATTAAAAATTTCTTATACTCCGTATACCATAATATACATACATAACCTTTGTTTTTACAAATACATAGTAAAAGTGTCAATTTGAACACTACAGATTACATAAGCTTTAAATTATTCAAGCCATATATGCTAGTCACTGCTGAAATAAGATAGGAATTATCCAATCAAGTATTCGCAACGAAAGGTTATAGCATAAAATCGTGCAGCTTCAATCTCCAAATTTGGGAATAAAACTCTGAAAATATTTTTCTAAAATTGGATGCTGAGAATTTCAACATTGAAAAAATGAGAAGTTCATATTTTGACCACCAGATGACAGCACTACAACCCATCAGGAGCGAAAATTTACAAGTTGCAGAAAATTAACCGAATAAAAGTTTTCGACCAAGCAAGTAATAATTGATAGAAACATTATCAAATGTTCTAACTTTTATAAACTTTAATATTTTTTTGCTCTCAATTTGGTAAAAATTTACATTTAAAATTAACAAAATCTAACATTGTTAATAAGGTACTATATTCAGCTCTGAGTGATTTAATTTTTAAACTGAAACAATATTAAAACATTCTAAGTTTCAACTGTAATCACTTATGGCAGCAGTATCTCTCGAAAGATTTAAAAAAACTAGCCAACAAGAATTTTACAGTCCATTTTTGGAATACTATAGCTGAATGTTAAGATAAATTTGAAATTTCTGAAATAATGAAAACTTTTAACTTCTGTAATTTCATTCAGTCAAATCTTACTTTAAAACTACTTTGTCGCATGAAATTACTGGGAAATTGCTTTAAACTTTAGTTTGTAACAACTCTTTTTTTTCCGTATCTATGTAACGCCTTTCATGCTAATGAAAATCGCGTGCAAACTTACTTTTCTTCAAAGTTTAAAATGGAGACTAAAAATATTTGAGTCTCTCCATTTGGGCTAAAAATTAGCAATAATTAAAATTTAGAGTAATTTTAAGAAAATTTCGCAAAAAAGTGTTAANAATTGTTTAAAACTTTAGTTTGTAACAATTTGTAACAATTCTTTTTTTTCCGTATCTATGTAACGCCTTTTATGCTAATGAAAATCGCGTGCAAACTTACTTTTCTTCAAAGTTTAAAATGGAGACTAACAATATTTGAGTCTCTCCATTTGGGCTAAAAATTAGCAATAATTAAAATTTAGAGTAATTTTAACAAGAAAATTTCGCAAAAAGTGTTAATTTTGCAAGTTTCAAAATATTAAAGCATTACTTTGAATTTAACATACTAAACACTTTTCTTGGCGAAAGGAGCTTTAGCCAAAACAAAAACTTGTCCATAAAATCATGAAACAGGGAGAAACAAATATTTTAAAATTTAAATATCTTGCATATTGAGGATTTGAATAAATACCGATAAATATAGTTTGGGATTTGTTTATAACTACCAATAGGAACGAAATTCAAGTTGTCAGAATATACAGAAATTAAACATACGGTATTAGTTATACTTAGTGTTAGGTTACAAAATTTTCGTACCTCTGGGATCAGGGGAAAGTACTAAAGTTCAGTATTCATAAAATAATAAAGAATCGAAAAAAGTAGTACATTTCAGATAGCTTATTTTACTGAAATACATTATTTTTGCTTTATTCATATTAAATGTCAATAAAATAACGAATTCATGAAATTCTAGAGTTAATTTAATTAACAAGTTTTAAACTGATAGACAAAGCTGGACATAACATAAGTTAACTGATTGATTGAGATACTATTTAAAATACAAGTTTGTTTTCAACTATTTATATGAAAACGAAAATTAAACTTAAGACTATTAGACACAAAAAAAAAAGCTGGAATATTTTTAATGCGGCGTTCACCTCTGCCGATTATGAGCAATACATAATCACGTATTGTCTAAACTTCCTTTCCGAACTTCAGGAGAATATTTTTGCATATTTTAACTTTACCTCTGCTTTTAAGTTTTGATGTAATCAGCTTATTTCACACATTCAAATTTTTTTCAAATATAATTTAAAAAAAAAAAAAAATGTGGAAAGCAGTTTCCAAATAAATTGTCACAGGAAAAATACTAATTTGCTCTTTCGCATAAAAAACTAGCGAAATCTCCAGGTGTACCATGTACAAAAGATTTTTCATAATTAACTGAAAATTACGAACGACTAAACCTTTTGGATAATACCAGTACATGTGCGAAACTACTATAAACTAGGTGTGGAGAATTTAGATCCACGCATAATTTTAGCCGATTTGAAAGTGTGCTGGTTGAACAAAGCAATACGTCTGTATTAATTATACATCTGTTTTAATAACTTTAAGATATTTCAGAGAGGTCAATGTTTGAGTTTAGATTATTCAAGAGTTGTAAATACAGGTAAAATACGTAATTTGAGGACAAAAGTTAGAAACCTAAAGTTTCTAAATTAAGAGAAATTCCAAGAGGCATCTAAAACAGAAATGTCGGTTTCAAAAATTTAATTCCCAAAATATCGCCATGATTTTTTTTCTTTTTATCATTTTGAATAAATTTTTTATCGAGATTCAAAAAAGATAACTAAAGAGGTGTTGCATTCCAAACGTTTACAAAGGAAAAGCATGGTTCGTTGATACAAATCATCGGTTTTGTATCTGGTATCATCGATGACAAACGAAATTTGATTTAAACGCATAATTTTACCCACAAAGAGATCATATTTTACATTTGGATGCTCTTAAGCAAGCATTCGAAAGATTTTAAATTCTTAACAAATTAGTTTCTGAAGTTCGGGAATATTAAATTTATCACGATATCAAGCAAATATCTATAATTCAATATCAATGTGTTCCAAAGAAAAATATCCTTACCTTTCAATTGATTTTAAATTAGGAAAGACTGGACAAAAGCACTTTTCTTTTCCGGGGAAGTAACGATTAAAGAAGTTATTTGGTGACGAAGTAGCATAAACTTTTCTCTTGTCCGCAGCCGTGCGTTTCTTAACATCTAAAGTTTGAGGAAATGGATGATAAACAGTTGCACATATTAAACTCATCCCTCAGCTATCACCTGCGAGACTTGAGCGTTCAAACAAATATTAACCACACAAGCTAAAACAACAATACGCAGAGCGAACACCTAAGGCGCCTCTATATATACGAGTGCTAATATTACTGCCAACTGTAAGAAAAATGTTAAAGCTAGCTGTAGATCAGGGGCCTCCTTGGCCGAGTGATATCCCCCGTCAAACGCTCTGCAAAGCGGGAAGGCTGCGGGTTCGAATTCTGCCGCTACACTAGAAGTATCTTTATGCTGTCCTTTTCTGTATTATGTTATCTGTTCTTCGATTTGACAAAGGTTTATAAGCCCAAATTGAGCATAAAGCCTACAAATGTATGTTATTTCAATAAAGCAGTAGATCAATTGGTGCCTTCCTGGCCGAGGGTTCTCACCGATTCGCCTAACTCTCTGCAATGTGTAGGTAGCAGGTTTGAATCCCGACGTAATTCTGGATGTATCTTTGTGACATGCTTCTTTAACTTGTGCAATCTGTTCTTCAACCTGGCAAACTGTCTTTGTAATAAACACACAAGTTTGCGTAAGTGTGTGTGGCAAAAAAGTTCATTTAGGACCATGGAGTTTTGTCCTTCCGACAAACGTTCGGAAGTGTAGAGCTAGTGGGTACCATCCCTTCCTGAATTCTTGATGTATCCTTCATCACAGTTATTTCTACAGTTTGAACTAACATGCGTTTAATTAAGGATTATAGTTCATTCAAGAGGTAGGTACTTTATTTACGTCACACTAGTTCACAATTGTTCACACTTGTCACAATTGTCACAATTTGTTCTGCTATTGGTAGATGTTTCTTGTAAATTATGCTGGTAAGTATTTTGTAGGTCACATTTAGAAGTGTGATACCTCTGTAATTGTTATAATTTAATTTGTCGCCCTTTCCGTTGGTAGTTACTTTATATATGTCGTACTAGAGCTGCACATTGGGCTATTGGAGACGGTCTGAGGAGCATCCCTGAGGATGATCCGAAGACATGCCATCGCAATTTCGATCCTCTGCAGAGGGGATGGCTCCCCTGCTTTGGTAGCCACACGATCCACGTGCGAAGTCGAGCACTTTACGGTAGAACAGTTCAACGAGGACAGATACCGCGCACCCTTGGTCCTACTCAGACTAATCTAAGTGGTTATCCACCCGCTTTCTGACCACAGCCAGTGATGCTTGACTTCAGTGTTATACTGGGACCGAGTCTTTACAATCAGTCCACTGCGTAACTTCATTCAAGAGCATAAATTTATACATCAATGAATAACGGGTGAGGTTTGTGGTACAGTCAGGGCTGCCGAAGAGAATAATATCCAGGAATGTGTCACAAATGGTCGTAGGTTCATGTCACGAAGTACCTGCGTTCTGAGATCGAATGCTTACAATCAAATAGCAGATGAATGCTTAATTGCTGTTGAAGTAACTACAGAGTATGAAGTTAGATCGTAGTAACTCAAACACTAAGATTTGTGATTTCGATAAGGTAGATCAAAGGTTAACAACACTTAGTTGCTTGCTTGTTCATAGAACTAGTTTAATTGCAGGGATGACTCGTCCCACAGTGGACTGATCTTTAAGACACGGTTCCCAGCAGATCACCGAAGTGAAGCATCACTGGTTGCGGTCAGTGTACGGTTGGGTGACCACTTGGATTCGTCTGCGTAGGGACCGAGGGTGTGCGATATTGGTCCTCGTTAAACTGTTCTACCGTAAAGTGCTCGACTTCGCATGCAGGTGGTCGGGCTATCGAAGCGGGGGTGCCATCTTCTCTGCAGAGGATCAAAATTGTGATGACATGTCTTCGGATCATCCTCAGGGATGTTTCCCAGACTGTCGCCAATAGCCCATTATGCAGCGCTTAGTGTGACGTAACTGAACTACAACTGCAGGGAAGACTCCCGTGTAAACTAGTTACTAATATTTTAATGTCTTCCTACAGTATAAGCTCCGATTACACGATTATTACATGAAGGATATAAAAAATTCTTAACGTAAAATTGGTGCAAATCATGCTCGTCTAAATTCTGGATGTACTGGCAGAGAGCTCTACAATAATTGCTTAAAACTTTAAGTTAATACCTTGTTGGGTATCTTTTTATAATCTCTTTCAAATCTCAATCTCTTTCTTTTTCTATAGACATCTGAACAAATTGAATCAATGTCTAATAAATATTAGGCATTGATTAAATTTCTTTCGATGTTTCTTTTGTAGTTGATTTTTCTAACCTTTTATTTGACAAACGTAAGAGTTTTTTGAATGTTGTTTTACGCTCTCTGATTCTCCATGCGTGTAAATTCCATACCTGATCAATTGGTTCAGATCTGGAGACAGGGGTGGTGTACGGAACTGGTTTGGCAGATTGTAAAGCAGTCGTAGCTTTGCAATAAATGCCATATGCTTAGAGTTATTGCCCGTTAGTTTGATGGAAAACTGGGTGAATTCATGAAAGACAACAATCATTCTAAAGATTAAGAAATGCAATAATCAAAACCGAAAAGTTTTACAAAAATTGAAACATTATTTTACTGTACCTTTTTTATAACAGTCTAAAAACTATCATAAAAACAATATCAGATGTTAAGATTAGTTAAAAATATAAACTACTCTTATTAAAGATATTTATTTATTTAACTATTCGTTATAAATAGCTAAAAAAAACTTTTGTAATACTTACGGCTGAAAAATTAGCTTGTAATTTTTTTCAAACGAAATTGTTTCTGCTTAAGGAAATTTAAATTGCTTTATTGTTAAAGAAACCCATTTATAATAAGTTAAGATTCATAATAAGTAAAGACGTAAAAAACGTATCCAAATAGCAAGAAAAAAAACTTTTAAAGATTGTTAATACGGGACAAAGATAAGGAATATGTGTCTATTAAACTTAATTGAAAAATCATTAAATAATGTTGACGCAAGCATCGAAAAACATCACAATGTTACGCAAAACATCATAATGAGTATAATTTTATCTCTAAATAAAACATTAATGAATCAATTTTCGGGATAGAAAAACACAACCATGTTTCTTAAAAGTTTCTTATTTTTTAATTGAAGAAATTTTATGTCAGGTAGCTAATTTAGAAGAAACTAAACAATTTTACAATAAATAAGTATTAAATTAAAGTCTTAAACAATAATAGCATTGAGTTTTCAAAATAATTATTTTTAAGAATACATTTTAAAGAATTCTTTACAATTACGTTCCATAGAAAAAAAAATCAAGTTGCTCATTTAAAAAAAGCAGATAAGTACTCCTTAAGAAGTTGATAGTTTTGAGTTTTCGGTTAAATTAGGTTTTTACTAAAAAACTTGTTTATGAAACGAGACTACCAATTAAAAAAGTTACATAAAAAAGAAAAAAGTTTATCTAATATAATACTTTAAGAAGATGCAATGCAGGAAGCGTATTCAAAACAGAGGTTTAAAAAAAGTTTAACATTCTTGCAGTTAGGAATTTTCATTAAGACTTTTGAAAAGAATGCATATTAAATCATATGAAATGCTTTAAATGGTTCTGACAAAAAAATCTTGTAGTTATTCTGAAGATAAAGAATATATTATGGTACAAAAAATATTTCTTTTGTGAGAATGAAAGATATATTAAATTTGCTCTTAATTACATTTTTGACACTTTAATGTTTATTAATCTAATAATTTATTTATTTCTGGGTCGTTTTCATATAATAGCTTTTAAAACTGCCTCTTAGAGGAAAAATGAAGTTCAGACTAGTTACGTTATAAAAACTACTTGTTTGAAGGAGTATTTTTAATCTTTTTCTGAGTCACATTTTTTAGGTCAACTATATTCATCGATACAAATCACAATTTATAAATTAGCTTAATGCAAAAAGAATGCATTAAATTATGTGATATGTCATTTTTAAATGCTGTATCATAATACAAGATCAAGAGTGTTATTGAAAAAGTACTATGCACCTTTCATTGCAAGATATACTCATTTTAAAAAAATAATTTAAAATAAAAATGTTTTGTCAAAGAGAAAAAAATAAAAATTTAAATGCGGCTTGTGACCAAATTTTTTCTTTTTTATTAGAAACAGTAGACCTACTCCCGCAAGAAATGGAATGGATATTTTCATTTTTTTTCTCAAATTTCTCAAGAAATACCTTGAGAATTAAATGTTTACTTGCACTCATTAAAAAGTTTAAGATTTTTAGAAGTTTGAAGGACCAGTAATAAATTGTGAACAAAAAAGTGTGTTTTTGAACACCATATGTCAGGAAAAATATCAATTGACTTGCAGCTTGCATAGATTACTTTATTTATTACATGCATAAAATTTCGTTAATCCTACTTTAAGTATCCATGGAGATTAGGGCGTTTTTTTAAAACACTACCTTTTTTTAACCTTATGTTTTTTTAAAATTAAAACTGAAAAATTATTAAATTAAATTAAGTATTATTTTCAGAGGAATTTTCAAATAATAGCAAAGCTATTAATTTCAAAATTAAAAAAAAAGTTAAAATTTGAGCAAGGTTTTAAATTAATTCTTTCATACTACGAATGCGCTGAAAAAATTGATTTTTTTCTTCATATTTCTGTCGTGAATCATACTTGTTAACTTATGAAAAAGGTCTGATTTGAATATTTCGAAAACTTATAACTTTCAAACAATTTTTAAGTAGTTTTTGTATTTTCTAAGAGAAAGATCTGAATGAAAAGAGGTTTTTCACTAATTTCATTTTGTTCCAGGAAACATAATTTAATAACAAATGTCATTGTCCTACATTAATTGACTGGACAGCAAGATTTGATGGTATTTGGCGCGTTTCCTTTCCTTATACGATAACGTTTTGCGGTCAGTCAATTGCTGTAAATCAGTGTAATTTGTTATTAAATTTTGATTTATAATACAAAATGAAATTTTTGAAAAACTCCTTATTCAGAACTTTCTTTTAAGTAAAACAGAAAAAATGCTTTCAAATTTGAGAAACTTTTTAGGTTTTCAAGATATTTAAATCCGTTATTTTTTCATAAATTAATAAATACGATTTTTAAATTGGTGTTTTTGTTTTCATTTTTATCCCAAAAATTTTATTCAGTTTTGATAGTTGCAGTATTAAACACCTAAAGCAAAA